CAGCTCTTTTGTCAGAGATGCCCATGCCCGACCCTCATACACTGACCTTTCTGGGCATCCTGAGCACTTGTTTTCTTGTTCACAGCATCCACGAACTTCTGTACATTCTGGGCAGACTTTCTGATTGCAGCCACAGCTTCCTGCAGCTCAAGGGAAGGAAAGAGGGAGAAAAGATGAAGAACTTCCCCTTTTCTTTGCACTAAATCACAACACTGGCCCAAGTGTTCCAGCAAAACCCCCGCTTCAAAGGAGCCTGGAGTCAGGTTTGTTCCAACTCACCAGAGTCTGATCCTTTGTGATTCGGGAACTACCAGTGCCTGTGGTTAAAGAGGGGGAGGAAAAGGGGTTTAAAACATCTCAGGGAGGGAAAAATCCATCCTGGTTAAGTCAGGGAAAGAAGAGGGAACTGAGGAAACCATCCACCCAAAAGCCTTCTCTTTCACTGCCAAAATCCACCCAGGCAAGGCCTTTCCTAAGCCACCCCTTCCAGATGCACAACCTCCTTCCCAGCACTTGATGGGGACAACAGGCAGGTGGGAAAAGGGAAAAGCCCCAGCGTTGGATTCCAGGAGCTCTGGAATAGCTCTGGGCCCTGGCAGGCCACACAAACTCTACTGGTGTTCCCCATCCTCTCCCACTTAGGGACCAGTGTGGCTTCTGCTTAAGCTTATCCTTATCCTGATCCCTCTCATCCTCCAGGACATCCCTCCCCTCGGCACCCTGCAGTGCTCCTGAACTGTGCTTCCAACCTGGATCAATGCTCATGACATCGTCGTCGTCCTCATCCGGGATCTCAATCACTTCCATGGCTTTGGCAGCCAAATCCTCATCCTCGGAACTGCTCTCCCGGTACTGGAGGCCCAGTTTGGAATACAGATCCTTCACCAGGCTCTCACACTTATCAATGGCTCTGGGGAGAGGAAAGGCCACAGATGAGGGAAGCCAAGGTGAGCACATCCCATAGTAAAAGGAACCAACCACTGGGAGCTTCCAGTTCAAGCCAGCACCACGAGGTGAGGGAGGGATGCAAAGCCCCAAGGGAATGGGGTGAATTATCCCTGAGGAAGCACAATGTGAGTCCACGCTGAGGGGAACGGGCAGCCAAGGATCCCCTTTGCTCTGCTCCGAGGCCCAATTCCAACCCCTGTGATTCCAACCTTGCATTCCTGACCTGGAAGCATCATCGAAGAGCCTGTCCACACGAGCCACCTCCTCTTCCTTCTGCTTCACACACTTCTCCAGCTCCTCCAGCTGCTGCTTCCTCTGCTTCACACACTCGTACTTCTCCAGCTCTTTGTCAATGATATCCTGGAGCTCCTCCATGGAGATTCCCAGCTCCTCCATCACTTCTTGCTGCAGCTCTTTCATCTCCTGGGAATCCATTCCTG